AATTAATTTTACTTGAAAATGGGTTTACTAGTTTGACTTTCTCTCCTTCTAGCCAAGTGCAGCTCTGAAACATATCCAGTAAGATAACTTTAATATCTTGTTAGAACAGTATTACAGTTATCAGATAATGCATTACTTTGGCCTAAACAAGATTAGCCAGATGTATTCATTCAAGAATTACATTCAGCATAAATATGAAGCTTATGGGAACTTGTGAACATTATTGTTATCTTTCCTTGTGAAATAAAATACTCATTTTGATATATATCTGATCCAAATTGTCTTGAGTCTGTAAAATGCTAAATGTAATTCCATTGTCTAAACCCTTCACAATACTCATGTCAAGAGCTCCACAGTGATCACATTTTTAATCAAAGCTTCAGTTCAGACTTTGTAAGCCGGCAGTGCTTCAAAAATCTGGAGAGCTATATGCATTCTTCAATCATGGAATATTCATAGGAGGATAGATTACATTACAAAGTTAAAGCGCAGGAAAAGTATGTTTGAGGGCTCTAGTATCGATGAAACATCTTCCCAATTCTGATTAAGCAATGCATACACAATAATTTCAAAATCTCAACCAAAAAGCAACGTATGTTCAGGATTGTATGCTATAAATTCTCCAAGTTTTAACATGCCGTAAGAGGAAAAAACAACTGTGTTGTCTCTAATGTATATTTTATAGACAAGAAATGGTGAAAGTTTCACAAGTAGTCTCCCAGAATACAAGGGTTATAGAAAGAATACATTGTTAATGGTCTTAGTGCAGTTTGAAGATCATAGTATTGGTGCTGTGAAACCCTCAGTTACAAGCAAATTAGAGAAGCAAGTGATACAATTGAATGATTTAATTTACACATATTCAATTGTAATCAAACCACACATCCAGTTGTGGAAAAGAATCAGGGTATAGTTTGTCAAGTCCCAAGTTTGGGGTTTTTCTGGCACAGTGTTAGTATTCTACCTTTGGGCTAGGAGGCTTGGGCTTAAGTCCCACCTACTCCAGAGGTGTGCAAGAATATCTCTGAACTGCTTTATTATAAAACGTCTATTTTGTTCAATCAAAAAACTTAAGAACTAATAATTCCCTAAGTGAGAGAAAAGAGTAAAAAACATATTGTTTTTCATTTTAAAATTATGACAACCAATGATTTAAATCAAAACATTTAATTAAGCAATGTGTTATGTGTAAAACTTTCAAGAGAGGAAGCTAAAAATTGATTAGACAGGCAGTGAAACATTTAATAGGATGTTCTTGAGCTGAAATAAATCAATCCTTCTTCAATTTTATTTAGGAGTTTCCCAGTAAAAGCCTTTAATACTTTAAGCATTATTTAATAATTCCAGTTCATGGGCATAGATTTTGTTAATGATGCCTCCACATTCAGTGTTAAACTGTCAGTAGTGACTGTTTGATGGCCCCAAAAATTTGATATAAAATTGCAGGGAATTAATTATGAGAATGAAGTTGCTGATCATTGTTCAATTGTCACAAATACTTCATTTACACAATCCTGAATTTTTATGCTGTTACAGTGTGTAACAACATATTTGACACAGCAATTTTGTAATATTGACAGTAATAAGAAGGGATTGTGGAATAGATTCAATGGGATTATGAGAAACTATGTTTGAAATAATTATATGGGTTAGAGAAGTTGCAATTTTGGAACTGGCTGCCTCAGAAAGTCGTGGAGGTGAGGTCAATAAATATTTTAAGGTGAAGGTTGGTAGATTCTTGTCAGACAAAGGAATCAAAGATTACCAGGAGTGGATGGGAATATGGAATTTGGAACATAAATGGATCAGCCATGATTTTAATGAATGACAGAGCAGGTTTGGCCATTTGTATGTTCGTATGTATGTATCTTCAAGTCATGATGAGTAGAGTGTGGTTTGGGGCACAATGAGAATTTAGGGCAAGCATTCCAGAGACTAGTTATATTGCATGTTGTGGGAAGCACAATACATTAAACAGGTTTGTAGTTTAAGAGTAGGGAAGTAGTTCATGACATGATATGGAGGGGGTAGAGTGGTTGTCTTATGAGCAAAGGCTAAACCCACTGGAACTGTACTCACTGGAGTTTAGAAGAATGAAAGATGATCTCATTTAAAAAAACACAGGATTCTTAAGAGGCTTGACAGGGTAAATGCTGAGAAGATGTTTCCCCTCATGGGAGAGTCTAGGACCTGACCGCATAGTCTCAGAATAAAGGGACACCAATTTAAGATTGAGATGAGGAAGAATTTCTTGTCAGAATGTTTTTTAAACTCTCTACCACAGAGACCTGTGGGGACAGCGTCCTTGTATATATTTAAGGCCGAGGTAGATACTTGATCAGTGAGGGAATCGAGGGTTATGGGGAAGAATCAGAGAGTGAACATGAGGAATGTCAGACCAGCCGTGATCCTATTGAATGGCAGAGCAGGCTCGAGGGGCTGAAAGGCCTACCCCTGTTCCTGTTTCTTCTGGTCATGTACATGGACAGGCATTCATTAAAGATGGTCAATGAGCAAACTTTTAGAACATGAAGATGCATATACTTTTATGTTCTGGTGATATAGTTCATAATCTGGTGATATTGTTCATATTTGGGTGATAACTTGCAGCTGTCTGAAACTTATTGTTTGAAAAACCTTTGTGAACAACATGATCCAGGCAAGGTTTTTTTTACAGTTAAGGAGTATTCCACATTTGTGTTTCTTTTTAAAAAAAGAACAGAAAGGAATAACTCTTTGATAGAACGAAGTGGAGGAGGAATGGAGGACACCAATAAAGCATCAAAGAATGATTGATGTACATAAGGATGACTGTTTCCACAAAATATACTCAAATTGATGCAGGAGAAAAAAAAAATGATGAATGTTGACCTGAGTTAGCACGGTGACCTCTCTAGATTAAGTCACTTCTGTCATGATGCTGGAATAATATTCAGTTTATAATAAATCAATAACATAATGCTTCACTTCCATTAGATTGCATTAGGAACTGAGAGAAAAGCAGTAGTACAGAGACAGCTCGATGTCACTTCTCATGAGCTCTTTCTATACAATGTGCGGGTTAATTCACTCGTCCCCACTAAACAAAACTAACATATTATTAAATTCACCTTCAAAGCTGGATACACTTTCCCGTGCTTTCGACATCCCGTTCTTTTCCTTTTTGTTTGTACTACGGGACGTTTTGTCTCCACGGAGGGCTCGGGGTCGGTTGTTTTCGTGTTTGGTGTCACCCTAAGCCGGTTTGGGGGTGGTTAACCCGGTGGGCTAAGGGTTCGCCTTTTTCCCCCCAGAGCGACCCTCCCTCTTGCGGCTGTCGGACTGGGCCGGGAGCTCTCCACTTGAGCCGGGCTTCGAGCTGGAGATAAAATACTTGCTTGTACTTGCCTCGATCACCTGCCAGTGCACGGTTCAGTCGGACGGTGCTGCACACAGCTCGGGGACCGGGTACAAACCAGTATTTCATTGAGAATTGTAGAGAGTGAATAACGGTGAAGCTCGGCTGGCAAGAATAACAGAAGAGACAATAAACGCGCACCTTAGGAAAGCCTCTCATTCAACTTTCTAAATGGTTAGCACTTAGATATTAAACAAAATCGAACGGATGCTGTTATAAAAAAAAGGAAAGCCGAAGTATTTTCACATGATTACAAACATAAGCGAAGATTGGGAACTTGAAACGTCAGTTCAAATAAGAGTCTTTATACGATAGCATTGTATTAAATTGTTTTAAACTCCAATTCCTTGCTGGCTATTCATATTATTATTTATTTATGTTTGTTAATCCCAAACTGAGGGTAGTGGGTGCCCGCTTTGTGAACACTGCTCAGGGATGGGTTGGTGCTTTGAGCTATGTGTTGGCAGCTGAAGATGGCAGGACTGAAAAAAAAAAGGCAGAGAGGGCTGGGGAAACTGAGCGGCGGTTTCAGTATAGGGAGAAAGAGGGGAAATACAAGAAGAGTCAAAACTCGGAATGTTAACTCTATTTCTCTCTCCGCGGACCTGCTAAGTTTCTCCAGGCTTTCTGAGAAGCAGATTATACCCCTAGTTGAGAACGGTGATCTAACGTGGTCACTCTTTCTCCAAACCACATCCCCCCCCAACACCACTCCACCCGCTCCCCCCCCCCCCCGCTTCTCCAGACCTCCTGCTAGCCCCTTTTCCCGGGGCTACTTCCCGGCCCTGAAGAGCTGAGGTCTCTCCGGGTCTCCATCCCCGATCAGGCCGGCAGACAGCTCCTGGCCTCCCGCTGTAAGAGAGACTGACTCTCCTCCCCGGACCAACCCACCCACCTCCGCCTCCAGCTGCCTGGTTGGTGGTTGGAGCTGTCAATCTGAGAGTCGCTACAATCACAGGCGAGGCTGGAGCCGAGTATTTTAATCCTATGGCCCCTACACAGACATGACATTTTTGGTGCTGTGTGCCAAACCTTTGAATTTCCAGGAACTCGTGTCCAAACCGTGTGCGCGCATCAGAGGCAGAGGGGACAGAGAGAGAGAGGCAGCTGGCTGTGTAGGGGAGACAGAAAGAGACAGAGAGAAAGAAAGAGACAGCCCTTTCCTGCTACAATCTATGGGGTGGGGGGAGTTGGGGATGGCAACGGACTGGATGTGTTACAACACTGTGGCTGTCTCCATTGCTTTAGCGCCGAGTCTGTGGGAATGATGCGTTTGTTGTGAGCACTGTCCACGTCTCCATCCTGATTCCGCCAACCTCCACCCCCCAACCAACCCCCAATCCCATCCTAGTCTTGTTTGTCTGTTTTGTAGGTGAGTGTTGGAGGGGGGAAATTCTTCAGCCCAAAAGCCGTCCCCTGAATATGGCAACGCGTGGAGATGTGAATTTCGAGTGAGTGAGTGAAAAGAAATATCAAAAGAGAGAGAGGGAGAGAGTGGGTGGTGGGGAGAAAAGCGTGCTGCAACCGCCTAGCAAACAGGGCTTTGACAAAATGCACCCATCCTTGAAGGATCACTAGATTTTACTCGGAAGAATTAACTGCGTCGTGTGCAGATAGAAAGGAACATTGAAATAACCCACAGCGCCGAGATAAATTCTTGTGGGCTTTTGTTTTTGATGTTGTTGTTGCTCTCCTGTGATCATTTCCGAGCCATGTTACTGGACGGGTGAATGTGTGGTCTGCAATTTCCGCCGATGCTTTGGGACTTGAGGGTTATTCCGCACCGTGCCACACATTTGCCATTTTAACTCACGGACTAGTTGCAAAACCAAACAACCGAGGAATGTGGAAATATCAGAGAAAGCGATACTTTGGTATTCTGTCAGCGCCGGTAGTGTTGGTGGCCGTAGTCTGCTGTGCCCAGAGGTAAGACTCCTCCAATGTGCAAGCGAGCGGCGGATCCTGTGCTTGAGTGTGATGTTTGCAATGGACAAAAAAAACACTTTCTGTCCTCCACCTTGTGTTTTGTGTTTCGTTTCCAGCGTCAATGAGCCCGGGAACATGTCGTTTGTGAAGGAGACAGTGGATAACCTGCTGAGGGGCTATGACATTCGCCTAAGACCGGATTTTGGAGGTAGGCATTCTGTGTTCAATCCGTAAATTTCCATGCACCCCCCCACGCCCCCACCAATCTTCCCCACAAGCTACGTTAAATAAAAAATATGTAGCAAGAGTTTAACTCGCCACTCCTGGTTTCCACACACTCCAGGTCCACCAGTCAGTGTCGGGATGAACATAGATGTCGCTAGCATTGACCAGGTGTCTGAAGTTAACATGGTGAGTGATCATTGTTTTGTCTACATCCAATGGACGGCTCGAACCCACGTTGGCTGTATTTCAGTTATTAGTCATACATCTGTGAGGATGCACTGGCAAGATATTCCGAACTATGGGGCGACTTTAATGGTGCTGTTGGGTCATGGAGTAATGATTCCCTCCCTGCCTCTATAGATGCGGCGTGTGATCCATTATTGGGGAAAGTTCCCCTCCCCTTTACGCGGTGACTGTAGGTTTATCGTTGGGCTGTACTGGGAAGCAGCAGTATCGCGTAGATTGGAGAGCCAGGGGTTGGTGCCATCTGCCGGCTACCTCTCCACCGAGATTACGCAAACACTCGTGGCTGTGCAATCCCATAGCCAAAGGGGAAAGTATCCTGAACGTGCGATTCTCTGTCTGTCTCTCTCTAGATGTAAACTGCTGGTGTAGTTTATTGTGAGGGAGATTCGTGGCACTTCGCTGTCCGAGGTTCTGAATCTGCGCTCGTAAGGGATTTGTGTTAATTTCTTGGAGAGAGGAGGGTGTGGAGGGGATGTTATCATCCAGTCATTGTACCTTCCATTTAACGGAGCTCAGCTCTTAAAATGTTTAATATGACAAATCAATTGAACACAGCAATAGCAATGCATAAAACGTAAACGAATTAATAGAACCATCAATCTAAGAGTAGAAGTAGCCATTCAGCCGTAGAATCTACTCCGTCATTCAATGAGATTGTGGCTGATCTGACAATCTTCAACTCCACTTTGCTTCCTTTTCCCCATAATCCTGATTCCCCTCAATGATTAAAGATCTCTCTGCCAATCTCAGCCTTTAATGTGCTTATGCCCCAGTTTAGAAAAACAAGATGTGGTCCTTGTGGTTCCCCAACAAAGTGAAATGTAAATTAGGGAGATTGGAGTTCTGTTGATATCTAACTTGGTATGTATTATGCCCCATATAATATTGCAGTTCATTGTTTTTGTTAATCAACTCATCTGAAATTGAAATATTTGTCCAACAAAGAAAACTTATCTAAAATGTGCATTAAATGTGATTATTCCTCTCCGTGAATCCTCACAAGTATGAGTTGCCAGCTTTAATGTATTTGAATTATTTTTCTAAACAATAATTTATTTACATTCAGTGCTACAGGCAATTTGAGACCTTGGGAGAGTACAGTTGTATAGGTAGGGTCATTCCTGAAATTTCCTCCTCACCATTATTAATGTGTGTACCTTTACAGCTCTGAATGGCTACCTTGACCATCATTATAGATGAATTCAATCCTTTCCTTATCCAATGTGCACTTCAGTAGGGAATATTGAGTGACAATCAGGAGTTGGAGTCATGGCCAATTAACCACTCTAACAGTTTGTAAAATAAAACCAAGGAAGGACATGCATTTATAAAATACTTTTCATGAAACCAAGGTATTCTAAAGTGAAATAAGCACTTCAAAACTGTAGTCACCATTGTGATGTCAGATCATGTTGCATTCCCCCTTTTCCTGTTTGCTTCCTTCCTTGCCCTTCCCGTTACAATAAAATCACCCAACCCAGCATTGACCAGACATGGAGCCTATGACCTTTCTGATCTATGAGGCTCATGGAATCAATTAAAGAGCCCACTAAAGCTTCATGGAAACTAATTAATCTAGTCTGACACACTCCACACTTGTGTTAAAAAAAGATGATTTTATCTTTTATAAAAGCTGAAAGAACTGTGAATGCTGTAAATCAGGAACAAAAACAGAAGTTGCTGGAAAAGCTCAGCAGATCTGGCAGCATCTGTGAAGAAAAAATCAGAGTTAACGTTTTGGGTCTGGTGACCCTCTTTGTTTTGCCATGATTTAAAAGGTCAAGGGAAGTGGGTTTATGGGTCATTTTCCATGTAATAGCATTATGTAGCTTTTCTTAAGCTACTGAGATATCATTGGCTCTTTCATGCACTTTTAGTGTCCTCAAGATTTGGGTCAATTGGCAAAGTTGTTGTTATCAGGGAAAAAGCAGTATTGGTGTTCATTTCTTGGGATATTAAAATAATGGATGGAACTAAACTAGAACAACCACAGGACTAAGAATGGGCCATTCAGTCTCCCACACCTGTTTTCCGCTCAATCAGATCACACACAACCTAAATTTCAATCTATTTATTAACCTTTGCTCTAAATCTATTGAAACACCTACTTAAAAAACATCCATCATTTTCATTGTTGAAAATATGATTGACCTAGCATCTAATGGAACGCAAGTTCCAAAATTCTGCCAGCCTTTGCAAATTGCAGAATTCCATTAGCCTTACTGAGGAAAATCCTGCTTCCTGACTTCATTCATAATGGACTTGTTAGTAACACTGAAGCCCACGGAATTAAATAGACAATAGCTATTTGTATATGAAATTGGATTAGAGATGGAAAACAAAGAATAGTAGCGAACAGTTGAACAGCCTGGGTGTGTGCTTTTTTTTATGGTTCTTGACTCATGGGGCCTAATTTCAACTGAGTTATAATCTCATCAACCATTTTCTCCAGGACTTTCTCCTACTAATTAGTTTAAAGCTTCCCCCACTATCCTAATTCCTCTTTTGGAAAGGATAAGTAAGTTTCCATTTGAGTGGAAGTTATTCATCTAGACATCCCAGTGTCTCAGGAATCTGAAGACCTGCCTTCTGTATAATGTTTCCAATTGTATGTAGTATAAAAAGTGAATAAATTGATCTTTTGACACAAACAGTCCATTCTGGAATTATATAACATTTGAACATTCTCCAATTTTCTTCTCCTCTAAATCTATCATCCTAATTTTCCAGCCTTATCTTCCTAACTTCCCCTGAAAAGCATTTATTCATTTCAACCACTCCCTGTGGTAGAGAGTTCCATATTCTACCATTCTTTGAGTACAAGAGTCCCTCTTGAGTTCCATATTTGATTTCTTGGTAGATAACTTATATTGATGGCCTCTAGATAAGCAGAAATAATTCCTCTGTGTACAGGTGATTATGTGTACTACCATAAAACCATTCATATTTCTTAAGACCTACGTTAGTTCTTCCAACAGGCTTCTTTATTCAGGAAGGAGAGGACCAAGCATGTTCATTCTTCCATGACATGTATTTCCAAGCAATTCAAAATGATCCTTACAAATCTTCTCTGCACTCTTGCCAGTATGTCTCGACCCTCTTGATAATATGCTGACTAGAACTGTAAACAGGATGAAGTGGAGTCTAAACAAGGTTGAGTACAGGTTGAGCATAAATTCTCTACTTTTCAGTTCTATTCCTGTACAAAAATAAGCTTGACACAGTTTGTTATCATATAATGGCATTGCTAAGTTAAAATTTTGCTTAGATTCAGTGGGTTGCCACTCCCTTGACTCCGGTGGTACAACAAAGGCTCCTGCTGTTGTGGGGGGTGAGGGGGTGGGGTGGTGGGGGTGGTGGTGGGGGAGGGGGGTGTTGGGGGGCTGGTGGGAGTGTGGGGGATTCTATAACATATAACACTCGCATGTGTGGAGCTGAGAGCCACTGTCCAAAGCCACCGGCCTTCCCAACCGACCCAAAGCCGGTTGCGGCGCACCACCAGCAGAGGAAATGCGTCCGGCAACAGCCGTGCCCATGTGAGGGGTACTACCAGCAGAAAAGATCCGCCAAACCCTGACGTGACCGACCAGAGCCACTGAGTTGAATCCTATGGGCAGACTGCGCAGTCCCCACCCGTTTACCTCTTAAACGGTTTCACGCCTTCTCTCATCAAAGTTCTTTTCAACTTAACCGAACAGTACTTGTTGACTATCGGACTTATGCCAGTATTTAGCCTTAGTTGGAGTTGACCACCCGCATTAGGCTGCAATCACAAGCAATCCAAATCCGAGAATACACCGTCCCAATGAGCCGTGGGCCACCATTGGCCTCACACCATCCCTGGGCTAAGCGTTGGTCTTGGGTATTTGGACCCTGTGGCATCATCAGACAAAGGCCTTCTATACGCCACATTTCCCACGCCCGTCAGGTGAGCGGGGATTCAGCTCTTCACTCGCAGTTATGGGGGAAATCCTTGTTAGTTTATTTTCCTCCACTTGGGGTGGCATGTTGGTTCAGTGGTTAGCACTGCTGCCCCACAGCTCCAGGGACTAGGGTTCAATTCCAGCCTTGGGCGACTGTCTGTGTGGAGTTTGCACACTCCCTCTGTGTCTGTGTGGGTTTTCTCCCACAGTCCAAAGATGGACAGGTTAGGTGGATCGGCCGTGTTAAATTGCCCATAGTGTCCAGTGATGTGTAGATTAGCCATGGGAAATACAAGGGATAAGATAGGGGTGTGAGTCTAGGCAGGATGCTCTTCAGAGAGTCAGTGTGCACTTGTTGAGCTGAATAGCCTGCTTCCACACTGTAGGGATTACAGTTTACCCCCACCCTCGACTTACACCTTCAAATAATAAATCATCACCCTAAGCATAGTATTGTGTTGAACCTCATTTCTCAATTATGTGTACTTTATTAATGCCCTCCTTAATTTGTTGCAGTTTCTCTCAGTGATTACTTAGTGTCATCCACAAATTTAGAAATTCCATTTGTGATTCCAAAGTCTGAATTAGTAATGTAAATTGTGAACAACAGTGGTCCTTCTGATCCTTGTGGATCACTGCTTCCCAGCCACTTCCACTTTGGAAAATTGACATTTGCTTTTACTGTCCAAATTCTATATTGAAGCCAGCTAGCAGTATATTTTGCTGTATGTCCCTTGATTCTTCCTTCTCTGACCCCATTCATTAATCTATTATGAGGCACCATATTGAAGGTTTTTTGACAGCATAGATATATGACATCATCCAAAGAACTATGTTATATTCTTTCTGTTATCCCTCAAAAAAATTCAATAGAGCTGGTCAAGTAAGATTTACCATTTTTGAAATTAATGTTGATTAGTTATCATTGAAATTTTTGTTTTGAGATGTTCCTCTGTTCTGTCTTACAGTGGAGAGAGATTCCATTACTTTTCCTACCCCTAGATATAAAGCTGACTG